TCCTGTGGCATCTTATTGAGGTTTATTAGACATGTTTGGTGTCATAAACAGAAAGATAGACACTAAAAAGACAGAGTGTGGGGAAATGAATTGCACTTACTGATACACAGTTTATTTGCATGCGCTGTCTAGGTTTTTTTATATGAAAGTTTGTTTCTGCCTCTGAATAAAAAAGAATATAAAAGGTCATTGAGTTTAGATTTCACAGTTCTGGCCTTTTCTATAAGTTTATATCTGATATATAAACTCAGAAACTCTCAATTCAGAGAAAAGTCAAGAATTCTGAGACAAACTCAGAATAGCAAGAAAAAAGTCAGAATTGTGAGATAAAAAGTCACACATACCTTTTTTTATTCTGTGGCATCTTTTTTACTCACAATTCTGACTTTTTTATATTTTAATATCTCGCAATTGCAGGTTACAACTAAGACTGTTCTTCTCACAACTGCGAGTTTACATCTTACAGTTCTGAGTTTATTAAAAAGTCAGAGTTGTGAGATGTTAACTCAGAATTGTGAGATGAAAAGTCATAATTACATTGTTTTATTCCATGGTGGAAATCAGCTCAAATCAACTAAAATCAGCACAGAACACAGTTCGCACAGCAATTTGTGCAACAGGTCGGCATACTTTACTGCAATTTGCTATACTACTTTTAAAAGTGTAGATTGCCAAGCTACAAGCTAATCATTAGTTAAACTACAGTTCACCTACTATTTTGAACAAGTAATTTGCTACATTACAAGCTACAAACAAAAAGCAGCCAACCACATTAAAGATCCAATATAATGTTATGAATAAAATATAACTATTCAATTAAATAAATGATACTATGAGTGAAAAAATGTAGGCCAGGGACTTGGTTCCATCTGTTGTTGATAGAATTGAGGCAGATCTGAATGCAAGCTTAGTTGTTAGAAAGTATGCAAACGAAATGATTGGAGAGAACATTGAGTTATGACATTTTGATTAGGAATTATGAGGGGGGGGGGACATATGCACGGATGAATTGTTCACGTTAAGATAGATAACATGCATTTGGAAAATATTCATTCATTCCACCTTAAACCAAAAACACAAATTCACATAACTTGAAAATAGTAGAGGGACTCAATTCTGTAAACATTTTTTTATCATTATTATTTATTTAAATTAATCATTCAAACAAACTTCTTCACCAGAATTATTTACTGTAGACATTTTAAGTCTGATGCATTTACGTAGGTGAATGTGTTTGAATATTACCTCAGGTTGTTAGGTTACGCTACGCTGCTACTTGTAGGAAGTAGTTTGTTGCTGTTGTTGTTGCTGCCATGCTACCAAAAAATAAAGTTAAGGTAGTAGTGTCTTTACTTTTGTGGGGGGAAAAGGAATAAATACATTAACACAGAAAGAAGGTGTGTTTGCATCATAGTGGCTTAATTTAAATACACATGGCACAGAGGTAGACCAGTGAAGAAAGCTACTGGCTAAACTGGATTTTAGCATTGTTTTCCTTAGCGGCAGTGCTTAAATTAGCATGCTAAATGGTGTGCTTCAACGCATAGTAAAACCTGTCAGGGCATTGTCTTAAAGCACTACTGCCATGCTGTGAAGTCTTTAGTGTCACAACTCTATATAGTGCCACAACTCTGACATTTTTGAGTCTTTTTTTAGCCCCATAAGCGCTACATCTACAGAACGCTTTAGAAATGTCTTGAAACCCCTATGTTGTGTTCCATTCCATTCTTTTATACTCCATCCAGCAGTTTTTGACATGTCTTATGTAAATGCTCCTTAAGAAATGTGTCTGATCGGGGTCAGGTGAACCTGAAACTAACCCAATGTCTCAGGGCTTCTATAGTCTATTTTTAAAAATATGTCATATTGACCATCTCTAAAATACATATATTGCAAGAGAAGAGGCGAGGAAACAGAGAGAGACAGTAAAGAGCAGACAGTCCCTGTGGAAGATTATGTGAGCTTTACAGTTAAATAAAGCGTGTCTTGAGGGAAAAGGAGTGATATCAGAGGAAGAAGCCATGTGTCAACAAAGACAGCTGGCCTCCCAGATAACTACATAGCTCTTTCCAGAACCCCTACATATATGAGAGAATACTCGAAATGATAAATGCAGTGATATGCATATATTGAATGCTGCAGTCACAGCATCTGTGACATATAATAATGCAGATTTTATTTATTTTTTTAAATAATGCACATAAAATGGAAGTCAAAAGGGCAGGGCATCTTTTAAATTCACTAGAAATACACAAAGTACGTTGTATATGCCTTATTGTTCCCATCTGAAGTGAGACGGATTTTAAACAGTTTAAAACATGACATTGTGATTCAATTATGTATGCATCAATGATTGACACGGCTTGTACGCATTTAATATCTTCACTAATGACACAGACTCAGCAGTCAGTGTATTCTATTCCCTGGTTTATTCTGAATCTATATTGGCCCCTCTGGTGGTTCACAGCTTGTTACGCTAATGAGAATACATCCCTGGACCAGGGGTACTTGTAGAGTTATTTTGATTTTAAAAAGTCTCTTTTCACATGAACAGTTTTCTTAATTATTCACAGGCATTAATGAAGAGTCAATGCTGTAATTAGGTTTGAACCTCCCCTGTAGCCTCCATTTACTTTAATGGATTAAAACAGTGTCATCCTAATGGTGCGGCGGATTGACTGTCGGAAACAGTGATTTTTAATCTACCATTAAATGATATGAAAAATGTTCATAACCCATAACCCAAAACCCAGACTAGGATTAGACCTAGATCCAGATCGAGACTAATAACTTGGTCTTCCACTGAGACACCTTTCCCTTTCTGCTAATGTCACTAAAACTGTGCAGCTAATTGGCTATTGTTAACCAATGGACAAATAGCTATATATTGCATTTTTTAAGCAAACTAGCATTTGATCATTCTGCTATGCAATGCCCACTTTTATTGATTTCCAGGAGAGTTAAAGTTGTTATAGCTGCAAAGGGGGAACCAACTCCATATTAATGTCTATGTATTTATAAAGCCATTTATAATGTCATTAAATTCCCCATTGGTGTAATGTCCCAATAATTTTGTCTATATAGTGTACAGATTGTCCACACAATGGAAGTTAATGGTTAGCCAAACTGTTTGGTTACCAACATAAAAAAAAAAAAAATTATTTTGTGTTCCACAGAAGAAGAAAAAGAAAGAAAAAAAAAAGTCATACAGGTTTGAAATAACATCAGGGAGAGTAAATGATGACAGAATATTACATAACTTGCTGTCAGCTGGTTTTCAGACAAAACTCTGCTGACTGGTTTTGGATACTAAACAAAACAGATATACTCTGAAGGGATCTGATAAAGAGGCTGAATCCATTATTCTTGGTGTCGAGATTTGATCTAACATTTTTGTCGTATGTTGGCACAATCTAACATTTGTCGACATGACATGTCAGTTTTTTTTCTCTGTGGAAGGAGATTTTTTACACCATGTTATGTCATCATCTCTCTGGAGCGCTGTGGCAGTGATGAATGGCTAATCACAGAGGGAATGATAGGTAAACACAGCCCCCCTTCCCTCTATCACTGATATCACAAAGTCACACCGTTCGCTAAACATGTCTTTCTACGACAGTGTTCTGTGGCCAGTCAACCTCTCAGCGGCTTGGCAGTATAAATAGGACCTTCAGAGAAAATCTGTAAGATATTTGAAGACCAAATCCAACGTCAAGTCAAGTCACCTGTATTTATATAGCACTTTATACAATACAGATTGTGTTAAAGCAGCTTTACAGCGTTAAACAGGAAAAAAACGTGTGCTGATAAAATACAAGAGGACAATAGAAAACAGTCAATTTATCAGTTAAAGTCAGTTCATTATTGATTCGGTGATGTGATCGTGCAGCTCAGTTCAGTTCTCTTCCAATAGTGACTGTGTAGTCAAAGTCAACAATATTGCCAGAAATTGTGCGCCAACGCTGTTGACATCCCTTTTGCTGTGATAAATAACCTGTTCTCAGTGCTTTTGACTGTCTGGCAAATAATCATTCTCTGATCGTTTGGAAATCTAAAATGGGGCACAGGTCAATCTAATCTTATGTTGTTGATGTCAAAGGCCGTACATTCTAAACTTCTAAACAATTAATTAGACAGACATCAACATTAACAGGTTGCATGTGGGAACTGTGCAGGGTCACCTTTGAAAAAAATGAGTAGAAAATGTGTGTTGACTGTGTAGTCAAAATATCAGTCCAACCACAATGAGTACCAATTACTTTATTGACCTTCCTCTGACGTTATCAGAAGGATTTAAAGTTGTGCTACAGTAATATACATATAGTTTATTTGCCTCAAACAAAACTCTGAAAATCTTTGAAATATTCTTCCTCAGACGTGCTTATTGTAACATCTTTGTACTTTGCAACAGGACTTTGTTTCTCTGCATGTAAAAACCTGTGTCCCTGACCCCTGGAAATCGCACCATATAGACAGTCAATGGGTATGACAGCAAGCTAAATGACTGAAACTATGCAATCTTCCAGAAAATAGTAATTTCTTGGGCCAAATGACTTATCGAATTGGCCTTTGCACCCTGAGAGACTACAAACACATGTAATGACACTGGAATACAGACACAAATACAGTACGTGTACAGTACATGTACACGATTCAGCAAAACCACTCTACACTATTTAGAAATGAAAAAAGTTTAACTACACCTTTTTTTTTTTTTCTTACCGCAAGATGTAAATTACCATATTGTACTTCGGCAGATGATTAACTATTGTGACTTTCAGTTGATGAACAGATAAGACACAAACAGATGTCAAAAGCGACATAGGCGATGATAGACAAGGATGCGTCAAAGTAAAGTTTCATTAATAAATACTTTGTTATTTCTGAACAAATTTTTAAAAAATTGCAAATCCAAAGCTAAATGTGTAAATTAACTACTTTCAACCAGTATCTGTGCTGAAAATCTGTGAATCACTAATGTCACTTCCTGTTTTCCTCAGACGATGAGTGGCCGTTTTTTCCCTCATCATGCTATCAAAACTGATGCAGTTCTCAGCCTGGACGAGGACTCGGTTCTGTCCACCAATGAGGTAAGAGATCACACATTCATTCATCATAATAAATGTTATGGGATGGTATCTCATATGGTAGGCTATATGGTTCTGTCATTCAAAATCCTAATTCTTTGCCAAGTGAAAAAATTGACATTATATTGAAATGTATTATTACATTTCTAATGATAACCAGACAAATTATCATTGTTAAATAGCACTTATCACATTTATGTCATGACAACTCTCTGAGAGTTTAGCATGTTAATGTACGACGATGTTAATGTGTTTGGCAATGGTGGACAAAGTACACAAATCAAGTACTTGAGTAAAAGTACAGATCCGTATAATAAAATATTACTCCAGTAAAAGTACTCAGTTTTCAATTTTACTCGAGTGAAAGTACAAAAGTACTTGATTTTTTATGTACTTAAGTAAAAAGTACTTACAGCAGATTTAGTTCACAAACAACTGACAGTTTTGACCTAAATATGATTTTCAGTTACAATAATTAATCCTAAAATTCGACATTAGTAACTTACTTTTAACAGCATCAGACGCGCGTGCGCTCACAAGATCTCCCGGTTCTTACTTGTGAATTCAGTTCACTGGAGACTCGCACTAAACGGATCATTTGAATCAGTGAGTTGTCGACTCGAGAACAGCTGCAATCGGATCATTCCAATTCGTGAATGAATCGTTTGGTGCGATTTGCGAACCGATTTAATGGGTTCATTGAAAAGAATCAGCTCATTCATGAATCAGACACCGCTTCTGCGTCTCGGAGTACGTGATATATTATAAGGAGTAACGATAAGTTTTATGAAATGTAGTGAAGTAAAAAATACGATCTTATGCTTTGGAATGTAGTGAAGTAAAAGTAAAAGTTACTCAAAATAAAACTCCAGTAAAGTACAGATACTTGAAAAATGTACTTAAGTACAGTAACGAAGTAAAACTACTTCATTACTGTCCACCACTGGTGTTTGGTCTTGGCGGAATAGGTCTGCTACGCTGCTGCTGCGGCGGCAGAGCAAGTACCGAGACTTGCTACTGCAAATACATCCACAGATATGCTGCTGTGAGCATGTAGGAAATACTGCTGCTGCACATACAACATATACTTACCCCCATATATAACATAAATTAAATTACCCCGTAGCAGATCTATGCAGGTGGAGCTGGGGAGGGTGGAGGGTTTCTGAAGTGCACTGCAACTGCTACAGCAAACACTAGCCAAGCATTCTAATGTGGAGCAGCAGCTTATTGGCTGCTGATACGAAAAGAAACCAATCAGCTGTGCCAGGTGAATAATGATGTCAGATTGAGTTAGAACCTATCGGACTGCGCCATCTAGAGTTTCATGACAGAACTTTGGATGAAGTGTAAAGAAAACATGCAACTAACTTCAGTTGAGTTTTTGCATGATGCTAAGTCTGATGCTTATATTTTAGCACGTTGCTAAGCTAATATTGCAATATTCTTACATTGAGAATTCTCACTCACAAACAAACTTTCGCTCTCTCAGCCTACTTCCTTTGTCCTGTCCTTTTTTACCTCATTGTTTTGTCCTCATCTGTGTTATTCAGTGGTATTTGTGATGCTGCACGTATTCTCAATTTCTGGCTTATTTTATGTTTGTTCTGCACTTTGTTAATGTCAATTCTCTGTCTTAAGTTTCCCTGAGAGAAGAGATGATATTTGCACACTGCAGCATCAGCAGCCTGCTGGGTTCATTTTTAATTGCTCTCAGCTGTATAATTTAATCAGACAATAATATGTGCTAGACAAAGAGAAAGAAGAACATCTCTAATCGGATGTCCAAATTCACAAAAAGATGTTGGTGTTCTGATCCTGGTGTGTCATTCTCAAAATATGGCATATTCTGACATTCTGAATTTCTGTCACTTTTTTTGTCCTGGTACATTATTGGCTATTATTAAATGTAATTATGCTCTCATTGGCTGCTTTGTATTTTAAATTTGGGTGTGTTTAACGTCCTATTTGAAAACAGATTCCTAATGAAGGTTTCATTCCTAAAATGTTTATTCCTACACACCGGCTTATAGGAGTTTTGATGGGATTCATTTATAATTTGAATTTCTGACTTATAAAATGGTATCAAAAGCATCTCAAGACACAATTGATTGCACTAAATAACCTATATTATACCTTTAATCCGGTTTTTCATGTACAGCCTCTTTTTCCATTGACCTTGAAAGTACTTTTCCATATTTTTTGTATTTTCAAAAAAAACAAAAAAAACAAGTAACCTTGATGAGTACAATGGCATGACAGAAACGAACAAACATTTTATAATTATTATTAATAGTAGTATTTTTTACCTGTTAATAATAAAATATAAAAATAAATATTTGTAATGATTATTTTATGAAGTTTTTTTTTCAAGCACTCATTTTAAGGAATAAAAGTACAAATATACAAATACAAACGTGCAAATACAATAAAAAGGACAAATGTACAAATACAATGTATTCAAAATGATTTATAAGGTGTTTCTTGATTTTTTTAAATTAGATTGTGCCAAAAAGCTCCTCAAAACACTGTTCATAATTCATCAGTACATTATACTATTAAATCTTTTTTTTTCTTTCTTTCTTTCTTTCTTGCAAAATTGAACAACTTTTTTTTGTTGAACTTTAAGCTTGGAAGATCTTTTTGTATTTTCAGAAAGCAAGTGTTTAACGTTACATAAACACCAATTATATTAAATTAAATTAGTTTTTTTAATAAAGTGTAAATTGTAACAGTGGCTGCTAACCAACACGCACGACAATGAAGATGCTGGAGTATTTCAAAATAACAGAGTCTTTATTAATAATAACAGAAATACTCAGAAGGACATTATAGGTAAATAAATGCAAACCACACTATGTGTTAACATCCGACAGATACAAACGAAAACACAGCACATACAGTAATCAGAAATAAAGAAAACCAAAACTAAAGAAAGAAGAAACCGGGACAATGGGAAACAGAAGAAAATAAAAGTCAACAGAACAGAACACAATCCTAACATAAATGCTATTCTTTTGAATGATGCCTTTTAAGTGGTGAATCTTGACTATTTAAATGTTTTCATAAAGGAAAAGGTCAAGACCTATGTTTGACATCATATTTTATGAAAGATCGGTCTTTTACACTGAATATGAAGTGAAATGAATAAAACTTAATTGTAACATGATATCGGTTACTAAAGGAGACAACTCATTTTAATGTCATTATCTCTTGCTTGAATAAATCAGCCAATTTAACCTGGTTTAAACTGAATTTTTTTAAGAGCAGATTCACAAAGACTGGTGACTGCACTGCACTGGTTCAGGACATGATTTAACGAAGGAATTGTGTAGATCATGCACCAGGCAAATTACATCGATGCTATGTAAATATATACGTAAACAGAACAATTTTAAAATTCTCATTTAACTGAAACAATGAAATTCTTGGCACAGAGTTTCGACATTTTTGGCACTGGTGATATCTACACTTAGCTGCAGTTACCACTGCAATGATCACTAGACAGTGTAATTTAGCCTATAGGCCAATCATTTGTTGGTAATAGCGGAATGCAAACATCAGCGGTCATTTTTTGTGAAAGAAGCATAATCTATAATGAACCTAATTTACATTAGAAGTAGCTGTGCCTGCGCAGAAAAGATGTCAATGACTTAATTTCAATGTTGAGGACACAACACTGCACCTGCTAAACTATATTGCAATGGTTAGTGAATAAGATGCAGGTATTTGCGCTAACATACCACCGTCAAAAGTGGCGCAACTGTTTAGTGAACTACCTCCTTAGAATTTTAGATGAATAGTTAATGTTTCAAAGGCCTGAATGAGATTCCAGTTTCCCAGCAAATTGTCCAAATCTGGAGTAATTATTATTTTAAAAGGATTATAAATGTGTAGTTAACAACTATCCTTCCTCAAGCTGTGATATGCAAATCTGTGTGGCTGCAGTGCACAATTCACAAAACATGGCTGCTCCATCTAGCAAAGATGTTTCAGGCAATGTGAAGAATTCTGGGATTTATTTATTCTCTAAACAAACAGGGTGCTGTGATGATTAGGGTGTTGCAGGTCTAAGTTTGATTAAGGCAGAGATGATCCAAGGGCCAGGAAGGATTTTTTGCCAATGCAATTCTCCAGCAGTTTACAGGGTTGAGAGTGTTATAAACAAAAGAAACACATTCTCCGCAGCTTTCCTGGCAGAGTCTAAGATAATATGAAGCTTGTTTGTAAATTCCTAGGCAGGGGTTGGAGGAAAATACAATGTGGGAATTAATCTGGTTATGGAATGTATTGTTAACTCCATTGCAGTCGGATTTTAAGATTAAGATTTTCTTGATCTTCTTTGATGGTGCAAGTTTAGAAAAGCAGTAGTAGTTGGCAAAACCAATTACATCCCAAAGACTGATCTCTTACATTTGTCTGACACTATCGTAATTCTATGATGAAGTTTGAGGAAAGAAAGATACGCTTCAAAAATCTTTTTAGAGTAAAAAGGTAAAATTAGATTTATGTTTACAAATAGATATCATGTTGGTGTATTGCCAGTGTGTAAAAAAGATTTTTTCTTCAAAATTTCATGTTTACTTCAGTGTTACTTGACATTTCTTGTAATTGTTTGTGAAATTGACTAGCAATTTTAAAGTGCACTGGCTGTACTGCAATGTAAGTTATAATACTTCAGAATAATATTTCAAGTGACACAAGCGGTGAGAATGTATCCAATCAGATGGCTGGAAAGCTACTAATTTCTCAAGTTCATTACGTATGGCAAAGCTCAGTGTGTGTTTGAAACCTGCTATTCATAATTCATCATACTGATGATTTATTAACTGCACCCAGTACATCTTTACTTCGGCCTGGCCAGAATATCCACTTACAAGATTACAGAACCCATATTACAAAAGTTGAATGAGTCTCAGTTTGGGTGAGGAAGCTCTTGTGGCTTTAAACAAATCCAGCAACATTTGGAGGGAAGCTTCCACTCATTTCACATAGCAATCTGCCCTAGTAATTGCCCTTTAAGCATTTGAGAGGGTTTTAATTGAAAAGTGCTGAGAATGTGAGAATATGGAAGTGGTTTCCATTTTTTTAAGACTGTGCGGCGCTATGACTCCATACAATTGATAATTGCATTGTTTCGACTCATTAACTGGCTTATTAAAATGGGAAATGTAATATAGGGGTTGAAGTTTTTTTAGTGCGCCAAGCATCATTAGACTGTAGGCACATGTGTGGCATAACAGCGGCACAGCAGAGCCCATGGGTTATGATGTCTGTGCTGCAGTTAATGGCCTGAAGAATTGACCAGAAAGAGTAATAATTGTTATAGTACAATGACAGAGTAATATAAATTACAGCATTAATCTAGTGTTTGTGCATGTTTCTGCAAGTGAATCTGTGTCTTAACCTATCATGTATTTGTTTTCCCATTTATCTTTATTGCACGTCTGACCCTATGAATGTGTGCTTGCCAAGGAGGTTAGCATTCCAATTCATTTCAATGGCAGTTGCTTGGCTGGTGCATGATCCCCACAATGCAATTCTGCCATTTTTGCTTATGGATAGCTTTTGGATATTTTTTAAGCCAATCATCTGACCCATAAATGTCATGTGGCTAATCTCTCTAAGGATCTCTCTAATTGTTTTTTTTTGGACAAGGGTGTATGAAGTATACTTTGGACTTTGGACTCCGCCCCTTTCTTGCAGCTGACTGCATGCTAGATATGCCCTTATTCAATCAGCAACCGATGAATTGTAGCCCCATGCTTCTTCTTCTGGTGGTTGAGGAGTTTCCCCCGCTTTCATGTAAAGCGCTTTGAGTACCCAGAAAAGCGCTATATAAATGTAACAAATTATTATTATTATTATTATTATTATTAATTATTATTCCATTTTATCGCACCTTTAACTCCATTAAATTATGAGTAGCTTGTATCATAGAAAGCTATAGTTTCATAGTCCCAAACATCTAAAATGTCCCATTGTTGGGATATTTTACTATAATCTCAAAAGTATGTACCTTCTCAACACTGTCGAAATACATAATTTTAATGCTTAAAATTATGTAAATTTGGATGCATCAGACAGCTGCCTTTGATTGTATAAAACATTCTAGTTTTGTTGCATCATATTATGTTGCCAGCCTGCAGTGTAGACACTTTGTTTGCATGTCTCTTCATTAGAAATGCATATGAACATTACAACAACATACTGGATTTCAGAGATGTTGTATTTGGTCATGCAAATTTTCAGCGATGACCAACAGAAATCTACGGCGCTCTGTAGAAAGCTGCTTGGTTTGAAAGCGACTTCTGTGTGAGTTCATTATGTATCACTTCAGTATTGAAAATTGACCTTTTTTGCCTGCAAAATTTCACCAAACAGGAGGGTGCCCTTTACTTTTGAAATTATGACATTTGGGAACATTGAACACTTCAGAGTCTCCTTTTAACATACTGCTAAGTTAAATAAGAGCTAGACAATTAGTTAAACTCATTTGTTAGCCGTGATCTTAAAGTTCTGTTCTTCTCAGACCAAGCATTCGTGACTCCAGCTGCCATTCATCTTTCCCACTCGCTCAGATCTATAATCAAGGTCCGGTACACATAATGAATGGAGCAAATTTCAATGTGTCACCCACAATGCATTGCTGGAGTGATGCGCCTTAAAGCCGTAATTCCTTAAGGCCACGTTATTTGCATAATGACATAAATCTGGCTCCGAGTCTGCTGCTAACGCAGCGATTAATCTATTATAACATTAAGGGGGACATTTGCAACCTTTTCCTCTGATTTGAGGGTTCATTTTTTAATATGTGCGCACGCTGACTTTGACAGAGCTAGAACTGCTTTCATCCCCTGCATGCAGACAAGTCAGTTGTGTTGACGCTGAAGCATGTCTGAAGGCATTAGAAAATCCAAGGCTAAATAAAGAGCTGAGTTAGAAAAGGCTTGTTCTCTTTTAGCTCTCATTGGCTCCTTTGATAATTTATCTCACTGAAAGTGAGCCCGTGTCAATTCTTTTAACAGACTATCAAGAGAGCTAATGTTGCTTTTGTTAATTCTACTTCTTTAATCTCTTCTGATGAGTTTCTTAAGCAGGGTGTTCGCTTTGGTTTTATCTGAAGTCTGTAGAGATAATGAAAATGAACATAATGTCTTTGTTCTTAAAGGAATAGTTTAACCAAAAAACAAAAATCTGTCTTTATTTACTCACCCTCTGAATCAGTTATGTAATCAAAATTGTGCACTTCTGTCTTCTCTGGGTTTGCAGGTGGATTTCGCCTTCATTGTTTGGCAGAGTTTTCCAGATCGGATCGTAGGCTACCCAGCACGCAGCCATTACTGGGACAGTGGGAAGGGGAGGTGGGGTTATACCTCTAAATGGACCAATGAATACTCCATGGTGCTCACAGGAGCTGCGTTCTACCACAGGTAATCTCCAGACAACACAAAACTGACCTGAAGTGAATTTGTTTTGGTTCTGTAGCAATTTTTCTATTCTATTGATTTTTTATTAAATACAAAGCCAATGAGCATGCTACTCAACATTCAAATACTTGGCTAGTGCTTGCTGTAGCAGTTGCAGCGTGCTTCAGAAACCCTCCACCTTCCCAGCTCCACCTGCTATGGGGTGATTTCATGTATGTTATATATGGAGGTAATTTCATGTATGTTATATGTGCAGCAGCAGTATTTCTTACATGCTCACAGCAACATGTCTGAGGATGTATTGGAAGTAGCCAGTCTTGGTACTTGCTCTGCAGCATAGCAGTTATTTTCCGCCAAGACCAAACACATTAACATTGCCATGTATGTTACCATGCTAAACACTCCGAGAGTTGACATGCCAGAAATCATTTCAAACAGTACGATCGCAGTAAAGCCGCCTTTCCACTATCTCTAATATTTCCATAGGTTTGTTGCATTTCACCTTTTAATGGCAGTCACACAGAACTTAAATTGATCCTGAAGCCTTCCACTTATTCATGGTAAAATGAATGAATGTATGAATATATCCCCACAAAACAAATGGCTGCCAATATGTCTGAAAGAAAAGCATAGTAGGTTATTTAGGGCTAATGTAAATAGTTATGTAATTATTAAGTAATTATTTTGGATGTGATTATTCATTAACTGCCCATTTTACAGAAATAGCGTTTAAAGAATAAAATTTTAGTGCAGAAATATCGATAATTTTCACCTCATGCTCAACAAACGAAATCTTAAATTGGATTCAAAAATGAGAATACTCATTTGGTTGGAATTCAAGTACAACTCTGCATTCAAAATGAATGATTTCCAGTCTTTAATTTGTTGGGGACAGTGGAAAAGTGGCTAAAAGCATGGAAAAATATGTTGTAATTTTACAAGACTCACAATAATTACATAATTTGTCTTAAAAAATAGTAATATAGTGTAGTTTTAATGACCTAATGAATGCAAATGTACATATCTTTTCACATTGAATCATAAAAACAGCAACAAAGGAAGGAATTAAAGAAATGTATACAACTTTTTTGCAAAGAACTTTAGTTTTAGTTTCATTTGTTCCAATTGTTTCAGAGACCCAGGAACAGTTGTGGATTAAAGTGTGTCATCTGAAAATACCCGTAGTCAGTTTGCCATAGCTAATGCAACCTGATTAGCTGAGTTTACAAATCCTTTACAAAAATAAGCTAAATCCTTTGCTTATTTTAATCTGCTTACTTTCTTAGCTTCTTCACAGGGCATTACATACACAATAACCAAAAAATAACACTAACTTCTGCATATCCAACTATTGGCGAAGATCCATAGAGCCTGACCTTAAACACTATTAATGCTTGTCTTGTGAATAAGTGCAAATGTCATTTGATAGGTAAATGAAGGATTTTTAGTGAATAATGACTAACATTTTATGGAATAGTCCACCCAAAAAATGAAAATTTGTTGAAAATGTACTCACCCTCAGGCCATCCAAGATGTAGATGATTTTTTTTTTCCTTCATTAGAATAAATTTGGTGAAATGTAGCATTAAATTGCTCATCTCATCTTAATCAGGAGAGAAATGTGCACAGGTCAAACATATAGTTTACAAGCAAAAACAGTCCAAAAAAGTTCTAAACAAATATATTGGTGGATTTTGTTGTGAGAGGACAACAGGGGATGGAGTTGTCATCTCACATCATCATTTTTCACTGGAGTAAGTGGATTATGGACTCATATTTTTGCCAGAAGTGATGTTTAAAACGGCTTTAGTTATGGATTTGTTTCTTACAAACACACAGTTTCCACTTCATAAGAAGTTAACTGATGGACAGGAGTCATTTCAATTACTTGTGGATTATTATGATGTTTTTTATCAGCAGTTTGGACTCTTTATTCTGACGGCACCCATTCACTGCAGAGGATCCATTTTTGAGCAAGAGATGTAATGCTAAATTTCTACATATCTGTTCCAATGAAGAAACAAACTCATATAGTATTTGTGTGAATTATTCTTTTAAGTCATTCTTAATAATTTGTTAATACCAGGCATGCTAATCAGCAACTAGTTAATAGTGAGAATTGGCCCCTACACTAAAGTGATACCCAAATGATATATCAAGAATCATCAAGCTCCACATAAAGCTAGACTGAGTTAAATATTTTCTCTTAAATCTAGCACATAAATATTTCTCAGTCATCTCTCTCTAGTGATCTCAATGTGAATTAATCTGTCATCATGAAAAGATAAATTGGCTCTGGTACACTTTGGTTACTATAGCATTCGTTCTAACCTTTTAGGGACACTGGGGTAAAGGTTAGATTTTATTAATTTGAAGTCATCCTGCGGGCCTCTTGGAGGCTTTCTGAATAAATACAATTTATTAAACATTTTAAAGATTTAAAAGTCATAAAATTTTTATTTAATTAAAATTGTATGACTCAGCCATGATAAAATTGTGCAAGTTAGCTGGCAGTTAAAACATGAGAATATGTTATGTTAGTTATGTTACATTTTTAACCAGCACCCTAGAGATGACATTGTTTGAATTTTTGAAAGATTGTTTGAAAGAAAAAAGACATCTAAAACAAAAGAACACACAAAAACACAATGGACGCCATCCAGAGTGCCCTAGCAACACTCTAAAAACACTCAGAGTACCTTAGCAACCACAGAAACACCCTAGCAGCAGCATAGCAACCACATAAGAAACACGACCTACAACACCATAGCACCCTGAACACCACCTACAACACCATAGCAACAGTTATTCTCTAAAACACTCAAAGCACTTTAGCAACCACACAGAAACATCATGAACACCATCCACAACACCCTAACAACAGCATAGCAACAACAGAGAAACACCCTGAACACCACCCACAACACCCTAGCAAGAACAATACTCTAAAACACTCTAAAGCACCTTAGCAACCACAGAAACACCCTGAACACCATCCACAACACCCCAGCAATAGCATAGAAGCCATACAGAAACACCCTGAACACCATGTACACCATCCATAACACCCTAGCAACACTCTAAATAATCAATATCACCTTAGCAACCACACTGAAACACCCTGGACACCATCCCCAACACCTTAGCAACAGCATAGCAACCACACAGAAGCACCCTGAACACCATCCACAAACCCTAGCAACAGCATATCAACCACACAGTAACAGAAACAGTGATGCTCTAAAAAACACTCAAAGCACCTTAGCCACCATACAGAAACACCATAAACACCATCCACCACACCCTAGCAACAGCGTAGCAACCACACAGAAACACCCTGGACACCATTCACAACACCCTAGCAACAACAACACTCTGAAACACTCAGATCACCTTAGCAACCACAGAAACACCCTAAACACTATCCACAGCACCCTAACAACAGCATAGCAACCACACAGAAACACCCTAAATACCATCAACAACACTCTTGTGACAACATAGCAACCACACAGAAACACCCTAGACACCATCCAAAACACCTTAGCATCAGCAACACCCCAAAACACTCAGAGCACCTTAGCAACCACAGAAAAACCCTGAACACCATCTACAACACCCCAGAAACAGCATGGAAACCATACAGAAACACCCTGAACACCATGTACACCATCCATGACACCCTAGCAACACTCTAAATAATCAATATCACCTTAGCAACCACACTGAAACACCATGGACACCATCCCCAACACCTTAGCAACAGCATAGCAACAACACATAAACACCCTGAATACCATACACAACAGCATAGCAACCACACAGAAACACCCTGGAAACCATCCACAACACCCTAGAACCAGCATAGCAGCCACACAGTAGTAGAAACAGTGAGGCTCTAAAAACACTCAGAGCACCTTAGCAACCATACAGAAACACCCTAAACACCATCCACCACACCCTAGCAACAGCATAGCAACCACACAGAAACACCCTAGACACCATCCAAAACACCTTAGCATCAGCAACACCCCAAAACACTCAGAGCAGCTTAGCAACCACAGAAACACCCTGAACACCATACACAACACCCCAGCAACAGCATAGAAACCATACAGAAACACCCTGAACACCATCCATAACACCCTAGCAACACTCTAAATAATCAATATCACCTTAGCAACCACACTGAAACACCATGGACACCATCCCCAACACCTTAGCAACAGCATAGCAACAACACAGAAACACCCTGAATACCATACACAACAGCATAGCAACCACTCAGAAACACCCTGAACACCATCCACATCACCCAAGCAGCAGTATAGTAACCACATAGAAACACCCCTTAACACCATCCACAACACCTTAGCAACAGTTATTATCTAAAACACTCAGTCCACCATAGCAACCACAGAAACACCCTGAATACCATCCACAACACCCTAGCAACAGCATAGCAACCACATAGAAACACCCAGGACACCATCCACAAAACCCTAGCAACAGCAGCTTTCTTAAAAACCCAGAGCACCTTAGCAAACACATAGCAGTAGTAACCATCCACAACAAGCTAACAACAACACAGCAGGGATTCACAGTTTGTCGAATCTTTAGTCACAGGTTTTTGTCGGCTCTCACAGAGGTCAGTGTCAGGTGCTTGTAAAAGCCGAATGTGAGACCTGCTGTGATAGAGATCGTTCAGAGACAGGCTGATATTAAAGCAGGTAATAAATGTTCAGTCTGAAAGCTTCACTGGCCATATTTTAACGATAAATGGCACAGGTGAGATGGAGTTCACAGTTTGTTTTAGCTGAAGGTCTCTGAACTCATCACTCACAACAGAGCCGCACACAAACATACACACACGCACAGTCACACACAGACCTTCAGACTGACACATCACACACCCGACACACAGATTAACCGCTTTGATACTGGTCAGCGAGCTGACACACCACCTGCAAAGTGACCCCAGCTTAAAGTGTGCAGGAGAAAAAGACATAAATAAACGTCTGAAGAGAGATAAGCCACCTGCAGAGCTGAGAGGAATGCTCTGACGGCTGTCCCTCAAAGAGAGTGGGAAGGAATGAGAATGACAGAAAAGACGTCTGCAGGCAGGAAAGGAGATTCAATTTAATAAGGACAGCGAGAGTCTTTTTGAGGTTCTCACAGCAGGGTAGGGCCTCTCTGTCTGTGCTGGGTATCATGACTATACTTTGAGTCCCACCCAGACGAACATTTTATTACTCATAGGTTGCTCTTAACGGTGCACTCGTTTAAGTTGTCTCAGATGTTTCTCCTAAAAGAATATATGACAAATATGAGGTAATTAAAAGATTGTTAAAGGGATAGTTCAGCCTAAAATGAAGATTCTGTAATCATTTACTCACCATCATGTTGTTCCAAACCTGTATGTATTTCTTTCCTCTATGGAATAAAAAAGAAGATACTTTGAAGAATGCTGGCAGCCAAAATGTTTGGTTCCCTTTGATTTCCATATAAACAAATAAATAAATAAATACAATACAATACAATACAATACAATACAATGGAAGTCAATGGGAACCGAAACTTCTTGTTTATAAATGTTCTTAAAAATAATTTATTTTGTGATCAGCAGAACAAAGAAATGCATACAGATTTGGAGCAACATGAGGGTGAGTAGGGTGACTATCCATGCAAGAGAATGACACTATAAAACAAAAACAAAAAATAAATAAATAAATAAATAATGTTGTGGGAGAAAAAAAAGAATAATGAAATAAATGTGTAGAATATTGTCTAGAAATAAATACATTATGTTAAGTTGATATCTTTTTTTCTCTTCCCATGCATTATGCATAAATCTAATGCAAATAAAATTAAGCTGGGACTGTCAATAGATCAGTCAATTACAATTACTAATTATTCAGCTTCGAAACACTAATTCACATATTTTTAATGAAACCTAGAGATGTCTGTCCCTCCTTTGAAAGCCTATTTGAACTTTCAAAAAGTTCATAAGATGCCATAAAAGTAAACCATATGAATCCATTTGTATTGAGCAAGTCTTCTGAGGAGACTTGATCGCTTTATACGATGAACAGTTTTAATTCAGGCTTTTATTCACATATCAACATTGATGAATGCACATACAACCTATCAAGTCTCTTCAGAAAACTTGAAAAAAGCTTGAAAGTTTTGGTGGAATGGTCTCTCGGGTTTCATTAAAAATATCTTCATTTGTGTTTCGAAGATGAACTAAAGTCTTATGGATTTGGAACAAGATGAGGATGAGAAATTGATGTTTTCATTTTTGGGTGAACTGTCCCTTTAATGGCTGGGTTTCTGAGCAGCATTCAAAATAAAACAGTAAAAAAAAGAGTCCGTTTTAACTTCCCTACAGGCAAATTGCCTTGTTTTTTTATTTATTGTCTCCCCTGTTATCTAATTAATATCTTTATTCATTCCTTTTGGTTTTTTTTGGGGGGTTTTTTTTTTTGTTTTTTGGTCAGGTATTATCATCACCTGTACACATACTACCTGCCAACGTCTCTGCTGTCAATGGTGGACCAGTTGGCCAACTGTGAGGACATCCTCATGAATTTCCTCATCTCTGCAGTAACCAAACTCCCGCCAATCAAAGTCACACAGAAAAAACAGTACAAGGAGACCATGATGCAGCAGGTATGAGTCTGTGTGTGTATGGGTTGTTAAAAGATGAGTGTGTGTGTCCAGGGTGATTCCCTATTGGGGTCAGAAACGTCTGTGTAGTGTGTGATGGATGGATGGCCCCAGGGCTGTGAGTGTGTGTGGATCTGATTCAGCAGTATCGGTCTGTTTGATGAATGTCTTCATGGTAAAGCGAGATTAATGATTGACAGCAAGGTTGCAGTACTATCCTTCTCTCTGTCTGTCTCACCTGTTTCTCTCCACTTTCCCTGTAATGTGATGTTTTAATGAGTAATAAGGGTAGGAATCATGAGGAACCTGTTATTATATTATATTATATTATATTACATTATATGGATCATGATATATTCTTCTTCAAATCTGAAAAAAAAAAAACCCTAATGTTAAATTACGTTACATTTTTTTTTCTTCCAAAATGTTAATACGAAATAGTAACTAAATATATAGACTCTTGACATGAGATTATTGATACAGTGTTGAGAAAAAGAAGTGTTTTGAAAAATTGATTTCCCCCGACCTCTGCTTAATGCTAAAATAGCAGGGGTTCGCAAATGCCAAAAAAGCATGGCTTTATGCAGTATTGTACAATTGTACAATATTGCTGAAGTAGAAACCCTAGTAACTTTATATTTTTCAGTAGTTTGAAAGTAGTTTAACTGTAGCTTTTTCAGTATCAACCCTTACGAAAATTAGCCATGGTTTTATTATAGTAAAAGTGCAGTAACCATGTTTTTGGCGTATTGATTACCATTTGTACAACTACAGTTTTACTACAAATACCATGGTTAAACTATGGTTAGTGTTGCAAAACCATGGTTAATTTGTTGCCATAGTACTATAGTAAGCATGGTTGTTTTTTTGTTTTATTTGAAGTAAAACCATGGTTAATTTTTTGTAAGAGAAGCTACCTTTTCCAACAAAGAGTACCACAAAATGCTACATATTTTTGTCACATTCTTAAATTTAACATTGTCAGCCTTACTGAGGCTGTTTTGTGGCAGAAATGTACTCTGATTTAAAAAAATAAGCTGTTACCCCCATTAAATATTGTAGGTACAATGTAGTTAGCTACTTTTTGTTATTAGCTTGTAGCATAGGCTAGCTCACTAGTTTTTTTTTAAAGACATCTTCAATGTAGTTTAATTATTTTATAAGTAGTTTGAAGTTTGGGAAGAAACAGTTTCAAAGTATTAGAAATGTTTACTGTTTTTCTCAATATTTCCTTAAAACGTACTAGAACCTAAAAATAAAAGTTAATTTTATTTAAGTCCTCAGCTAACAGGAAACATTCTCAGTACTTTTTCGTCTTTAATAGCCTTATCAAAACATTATTTATTGTTTATGGATTTTTTCGGAATCATTTTGTTTAGTCTAAAGTTTTTTTTTAAACAACACTGCTTACTACTTTTGTTTCAGATGGTTCAGAGAACATTCAAAAGTAACATTCCCATAATGTCTGCAGAATGATAAAATTGAACATTCCTTTAATGTTTTTCTCTAACATTTACAACCAAGATTTTTTTTTTCAAACATTTTTTTAAAAATGATTTTTTTTTTTTTATGTTCTGCGATCATTCCAAAATATTTTTCATACCTTAATGGGAACATTAGCAAAATGTTCTTAGAAAATATTTTTTGTTAACTGCGTAGAAGGTAAATAGCTATTAGCTGATTAGAATATCAGAATGGTCCCATTTGATCTGTCATATCTCAATTTCTCTAAAATTCTGTGATGAAAAAGAATTCATGAATGATACAAAATATATATTTTTGTGTTCCACTGCATGCCCAAAGAATTGGATGCATGTGGGTCTGTATTAGCACATTGTAAGCTTCTTTAACAAGGAGCTAGACATCTTTCCACAGTGTTTCTCATGAATGTAAGGCCATAACTGTCATCTGTTCTCTGAGTCGTGAAATGAACACTCTGTGTTCACTCTGTTTGTCCATGTCTTCTAAAGTGCAGCCCAATTCCAGCAACATGTTCTTGCTTTCTTTCTTAATCTGCCTGGTGAACCATACACAGACCTCTCTCTCCCTCTCTCTCTTTCTCTCTCAGGGCTCTAAGGCGTCTCGATGGGCCGACCCAGACCACTTTGCACAGCGTCAGTCCTGCATGAACTCTTTCACACGTTGGTTTGGCTTCATGCCTCTCCTGCACTCTCAGTTGCGTCTGGACCCCGTCCTCTTCAAAGACCAGGTCTCTATCCTACGCAAGAAATACAGAGACATTGAGAGGTTGTGAGGGGCGAATCCCTCCAACACTCTGCTGAACTCATCCGAACATCCCCAAACAGACCTGCAGTGTTCAGTTCGCCTGGACTCAAATACAATATGTTCCATCTATAGAAAAAAAAAAATTATAACAAAATATGCAACACTGAATGATTTTATCTGCAGCTGAAGGTTTCGTGGCAAGCATTTGCTCAGAATAGGACTGGCTCCTTGCGTGTTCGAATTTGTTGTTGTTGTCGGTGTTGTTGTCTGCGAGGGCCGTAGCTGCTGCACATGTATGAACAGGAGGTAAAAGAGGCGTGTGAATGGATGAAAACAGCTTAACGAGTCACCTATGCCTGCAATATGTCTTTTAATTTAAATTTTTTTTTTTTAAGAAATTCTTTTTTTTTTAAAGAAGTTTAAAAAATAAAATCTATGAATGCAAAGTGGGTTTGCACCCTAAATATTCATTTTTGTATCATTTTATTGTGTGTTTGTCCCTTAATACACCATTTTTTCCCTTCACAACAGATCATCCAATATGAATAATATTTGTACTTGATATTTTGAGAAAATCAGCAGTCCGTTTCTGTAGTTCAGAGAGATCGGCTCGATTTGAGAAAAGGGAAAACATTTAACCAGATTAAAAAAAAAACACTGGGTGGATTTTTATCCACTTAATTTTATCATTATAGGGTGGTTGTGTACACACACTGCCAACACACATTTCAGTTCAAACTTTGGCTTTTTTTTCCAGCTTTAAACAGCAGATGTACATTCTATGCACTTTCCACACTTCTGCGTTTTTGCTCAGGTCAAGCATTTAAAGGGATAGTTCACAAAATGAAAATTACCCCATGATTTACTCACCCTCAAGCCATCCTAGGTGTATATGACTTGTATATGGCTTTTTCTTTACAAATAAATCATGGGGTACTTTTAATTTTGAGGTGAACTATCCCTTTAATGCACTATGGGGCCACACCAAATGAATTCCCGTGTCTTGCCAAAAGATTGTATCCACAGCCAAATCATTCACTTACTGTTTAATTTATTATTAAATTGTGTAATTATGATTTAGTGTTTTGTTTCACTTAGCCCTAAATGAATGCTCGCAAACATGTATTTTACCTGAATATACAGTATAACAATTTGCTAGTATCAGTATCATACAGTAGGTAAAGTGGGCATAATATGCAAGCACCATCATTTTTACTATTTACATTACGCAAATATATGACAGAAAACTAATAACTATGTTGGCATTGGACCAAATTGCCACTCCACATATAGACTGTGGAAGTTAGAAACTGATTGTGAATCCCAAATGAGTTTAATATGAATCTACAATAGTAAAAATAGCTGTAGAGAAAAATTATATTTTTGTGGAACAATTATTGTAAGAGAATCCATATATTTTGTCATGTTGCTATATTATTTATATTCATTTTTAGGCTACACTGTCAAAATAAGTTCTTGTTTACAACAAGCCTGAACTTCATCCAGTCACAGCTCATGCCTTCTGAATTTATGCGGACATGATACTGGATCTGACCTCTCCACGTCATCCCATACCATCTGTATATCAGCATATTAGCATATGTTAGCAGGGCTGATGTAACTCACACACTCTCTTGAAGTTTTTGTCTCACAGGTGATGTCTTTATTAGAGTTGCAGCGATATGTGTGTATGTATTGACAGGCTTTGATATCTGTCTGAAGTTTAATCTCTTTCATCTTTATGACAAACAGACAGAACAAAAAAAGAATGGCGAAAGGTGTAGATCTGCCCTTTCACGGTACCTCCTTTCCAGCTCGTTCTCTTTCTCGTTAGTCTTGTGTTCTCTTCTCGTTCACCTCTTCCTGTCGGCTTTCATCAGGATGATGTCTTCACTCCACATCCACAGAGACTTGCGGAAATGATGCTTCTCTCACTGTTGAACACACCGTAGATGTTTCAAAGGTTTAAACATAACTGGTCCAACACACGCTCCATGCCACTCCAAGTCTTAGGGGCCATTAACACTGAATGTGTTTTTAAGTTTAAAAATGTGAAATGAAGGGCAGTGGAATAAAAAAAAATTATAAGTTCAACTTTTGTTAACTTGAGTGCCATTCATGTGCAAGATGTGTGCATAGCAGTCAAACACATCCATCTAGCGCATGAAAAATCAGTACACTGAAAATCAGCACAGTAAAACACAAAAATGCAATTTTGTTTTAACGGCCCCTTAAACCGTCTCATGGTGGGGATGAGTCAGGAAAATCTAGTCTTTTTAGCGTTAACATTTTTAGCAGAATTAGCAGTAAAAGGGGACAAATTAAGATATGCAGCTTCTCAGAAAAGCATAACAGAATACAGTGATTTAGCATGCTAATAGTTACCTGAAAAAACCACCTCAGAAAAGTTGCATCTCTGAATTCATTCCCTTTAAAGTCTGCTACAATAGCCATCAAAACACTACTTGTCTAACAAATCCACCACCTTCAACAATACCTTTCAAATCAATTACTGTCTATCCTCAAACCGCCTGCTGTGAGCAACATTTCTGTTATTATGCATAGTCTGTAGATCTCGATTTTAGTGAGCACTATGATAGTTCAGTTTTTGAGATATGTAGCCGATTTTGTGTTATATATCTGAATCTAGAATCTCATCATTCCTTGTTTTGTTTAAATCAAAAGTTGTGCTTGTTAACATTAATTAATGCACTGTGAATTAACATGAGCTAACAATGAACAGCTGTATTTTAAATGTACTGTTCATGGTTCGTTCATGCTAGTTAATACATTAACTAAGGGTGCTTTCACACCTGGCCTGTTGTTTCGGAACCTGGCGCGTTTCCCCCCTTAGCTCGGTTCGTTTGGGCATATGTGAACACGGCAATCGCGTTAGGATGCGCGCAAAAACGCTCGGTCCGGTAGCAACACTTTAGTTAATGTTGGTTATTGCATTAACTAACAAAGAGCAATACATTTGTTGCAGTTTTTGTTCATTCTGTCCCACTTTATATTGGGTGTCTTTAAATATTATTCAATTAGTCAATTTTAACATGAACTAAGAGTAATAAATGCTTCAGAAATATGTTTCATTGTAAGTGCATGTTGTGGTCAGGATATTTTAATGACACTTTCTGCAGATCATCATGCCAGTAGGAGAGCACAAATGACTTTGTCCTTATGAGTGAGTCACTGAATCATTCACTCATCCAATTCATTCAAAAACACTGATACATTCAGTAATGAAACACCGGTAACACTTTACAATAAGGTTCATTAGTTAACATTAGTTAACTACTTTTGTTTACGTGAACTAAGAATGCACAATACTTCTACAGAATTTATTAATCTTGGTTAATGTTAATTTCAACATTTACTAATGCATTATTTAAATCAAAAGTTGTGCTTGTTAACATTAATTAATGCACTGTGAATTAACATGAGCTAACAATGAACAGCTGTATTTTAAATGTACTGTTCATGGTTCGTTCATGCTAGTTAATACATTAACTAAGGGTGCTTTCACACCTGGCCTGTTGTTTCGGAACCTGGCGCGTTTCCCCCCTTAGCTCGGTTCGTTTGGGCATATGTGAACACGGCAATCGCGCTAGGATGCGCGCAAAAACGATCGGTCCGAGATCGCCTGAAAGAGGTGGTACCTGTGAATGTCTGTGGGTGAGCACGTCTTTGCCATTAAAAAATAAAAGCGCACTTTTTTATTTTATAATGCCGTTTTATTACTCTTCTTTGTAGTAGGTGCATTTTAAAAATGTTTTCCCGATGAATCCTGGACTCCTGCTCAAAATGATAAATTAATATAAGGACAGCTAAAAAAATTTTAAAAAAAACAAGCTGTTGTCGTTCCATCCTGACGGATGACAGCCGTGGTGGAATCCCGGACAATAAACCGTGGAACTTTGACCAATGAGAGAACAGTTTACACGCGCGTGACTTGTATTAACAAATTTGGTCCGTTTAGAAACTTTGCCATGTGAAAGCGAACCGCACCAAGAATAAAAAGATTGTAATAATTGTAATCCCTGTTTCGGAACAAAGCAATCGATCTACAGGTGTGAAAGCACCCGAACATTAAGGAACCTTATTGTAAAGTGTTACCAAAACGCCACTACTCTTTGTTGTTCAGAGACACACAATGGTTGACTCTGTAAGCAAAAATAGACAAGTATCTCGGAGAATTTTCTCTAAAATGTAAGTCACTCATTCAGTTGTTTACTGTATTGTTGTATAAAAATAAATATCACACTTGCAATTATGCTGTTGTTCTTAATATCAGCATTCTTGCTCATGTGACACTGATTAATTTTTTTGCATATATTAATATATTATGTCGTTCTGCTCATGGACAAAATTGTGAGTATGCCTGGACACTATACTAACACCTTTACCTCAGCTTTTGATGCAACTTCCATTTCCTCTCTTTAGCAGGCACTTGTATTTCCTGGCAGCGGCATCCCAGGAACTTCCTCTTGCTGAACGACTTCTGAATGACAGGCGCTATCAGGGATGAAGGGTGTGTGTATGTGTGTGTGGCCTGTCCCTGAATGGAAAACAGGCAGCTGTCAGACAAGTGAAAAGTCAATAACTGCAGACATCAGAGAGCCCATCTCTGGGTGTGCATGTGTGTGATATATCTCCCCTGCTCAATCCACACTGGACTGCACATCGAAATCAGTTCAGTTCTCCACACATCAAACAGTGCAGCATACTTACACACCTCCAGAGAACCCGCCTCTGCAGTTCAGTTTACTCCAGCGTCTCTCTCTTTTTCCCTCGACAAACACCTGTTCAGACGGCCGCCGCATCTCTGGAGACTCTAATCCGCTTCCCCAGGCCTCTCTTCCTTTCACCCTCCATCCATATCTCTCTCTGGCTTGCTTTCTCTGCCTGCTTTTAGCTCAGTGGAATTAGATTTGACTCAATCCAATTGAGTTCAGCTCCATCAAAGAATGTTTGTTGGCAGGATCACTTTGTTCTCTTTTCAATGGCGAGCGTCATAAAGCCTATTCCTCTTTTAGACTACCTCTCTCTTTTTCCCTCCCCAAGGTCTCATTCCCTGTAGCACTATGGTGTTTGTCCACTGATGTGTATGTGTGGAAACCTAATAACAGTGTTATAAAATGCTGTGTCATGAAGTGCATAATGCCTCTGTGCCATATAAAAATGATAATAATCACTAGATAAGTACATTTTCTAAACAAAATGTGAGTGATACTTTCCCGGTGAAAACTCACTGCTAGTTTGAGTTATAAACACTGTCACAAGAAAAAATGAGCTAGATCCCATGTTTCTATGATATTCTACTACAGAGATAAGATTGTGACCGTAAGGACTGCCTGCGATCTTACGGGGGTCTCCATACACTGCACCAGGGTGCAAGATGCCGCCTCTTGTTTCTATGAGATTCCCATGCAGAGGTATGACTGGGGTCCCCAGTGGCATTTGTGGGCACACATAGGATCTCTGTAGATTATCCATCAGAAGAAGAGGTGTCTCCCATGT